AGACGTAATAACGACCGCACGTCTTGTACAAACACCGGACTGAAACTGGTTAGAACTAGATTTTACCAACTTTTGCATCTGGTAATTTCACGATAATGCTCTGTGTTGGTAGAAGCTCGAAGTTTAAATATTTTATTAAATATTTCAGACTGCACACACCGATACTGATAACTGTTCCTTCTTAAGACATTTGCAGCAAACTATGTATTATTTTAAATATCTTTTTTCTTCAAATTTGATTTCATTTATTTGATTTCGAATAAGATTTATAAGAGTTTTATTGGAAGACCTTAAAAAGATGTCTCTTTCTTAAATAACAATAGAATTTCAGTTCTTAAATTTCATAAAACTATTGAAATGTATTATATGTCGTACTAAAATTATTGTGTTTAACAGATAAATTAATATTTACTACTATAGAAAATTTTCATATTAGTTCTAAGAAACCAACCACTCACAGGCAGCTAAAAAATTCTTTGATTTGTTTTTTGATTTGAGGTTATTAAGCAAAATTAAATATCTTGTTAGATAAACAACAAAAGTTATATAAATTTTTTAAAATTTTGATGTGCAGTAGAAACCTTGGTGAAGTTCCATTTTGAACTATGTCTAATTTGGTATATGTTCTGTATGGACTTGGAAATTTGTTGTTTGATATACGACATTTGTTTTCAATACGACTCAAAGTCACGATTGCACTCAATGCATTTCTTCACTTCTTTCGAGACAAAGACGACTGCCCATGAGCGTCAGTACGGTTGTTGTTATTGTTCAGTGAACAACTGATGCTATAACCCTGAATTTGAAAGGATACTCTGTTTTCCGGTTGAATGGTTTTCTAAGTTCATTAACAATGAGTTTTAGGAAAGTTAATGAGAAGAGTCAAGCAATCAAAAAAAGTTCTTAGGATGACCATGGAGGTGAAAAAAAAAGGATTGTTGAAAAATATGGAAATGGTATACGTATATCTGGGACTTAGCTTTTGGCGTACCATATATTGAGGACACATACCGAGTCTATCCCTAATCCAAAGGCATTTTACTGTGCAGGTACCACTGCACAGTAAAATGCCTTTGGATTAGGGATAGACAGTATTATGCAAATATCATGCGGTTGCTGCCTCATTTCTGCTCTTTTAAGGACGCTGCTATATGATATGTATCGCTGGAAGTGTTACCGTCTCCTAGTAATTAAAAGTAGCATGCTGGATAACTCTCGAGGTGTACTCGTGATTGTTATTTAATCCAATTTTTCTCTGTGGCCTCCGATCGAGGACAAATAATACATGCTTTACGGAATAATAATACATGCTTGACGGACAAATAATATATGCTTAACGATCAATGACAAATTATGCATACTTTTCTGAGATATAGCTCGAGAGTCGGGTTTCCTCATGTTACAGTATAAACAGTTCGGTGAGAGTGTATCGATTAGAGAGAGAAGAAATGGGGCAAAGGGCAAATAGCTTTGAATTTACGTGACGTCAGATGACTCAGTTGGTTTGCAAGTAATTAGCTACACAAAACCTTAGTTTAGATAGCCATCCAACTGAATGAGGAATCTTATCGAAGAGTGTAGACCTCGTTCCACTGTTTCAGAAGGCGAAGAACCACTAGAGTGTTACTACTTATTGTATGCGAATTTCAGGTTAAAGTTATCTGTTTGTAGAAATCCGAAGTTTAATTATTTAATTAGATATATCGGATTTCATAACGGATGCTGATACATGAGTCTTGCAGTAACCTACATATTATTTAAGCATCATTCTTTCCTCAAATTTGTATGCAAGTACTTTCATTTCAAGTACGTTTAATGATTCTAACGTCTTACATTGGCATCTCCCAAAACACTTAGCGTATGATGCAATGAATTGGATGTATCTCGAATTACACCATAAAATTAAAAATGGTTTGGGCTTGAAATTCGCGGAAGTCCCTAAATCCGGAATAATTAGCAACGAGTTACGGCTTCTTTGGCCTTCATAGCAGCTGTTACGTGGTGATGCATGTATTCAGTAAGTTCGCGGAAGTGCTGCAGAGGTATGCCCTGCCACTCGTCTTATAGAACGTCCCCAAAATCTGTTAAGGATACTTGGTTGTAGATGGCTTTTTTAAGCATCTTTTTCCAGAAATATCAAAGGTATTCAATTCGAACCAAATCCTCTTCTTCTTGGTGGCCATTCTAGCAGCCTGAATTCAGTGGAATACTCAGTTTGGTGGTAATCAATAAGGATCCGGAACAGAAGCAGTTGTCCTGCTGGTACAGTCCATTTCCATATGGCTAGCAGAAAAGCAAGAATGGATGTAAGTGATCGCTCGGCAGATCTGGTGCTTAGATGCAGTGAGGTTGTGTATAACCAATAGTCTGCCAAGCACTGCCAAGATGATATACTTCAGATCATCACTGCGTCCCAAGACGTTCTAGATTTCGAACCTGGTGCGCTGCATTCATGGTTTCATACGGTTGGCGCCGTATTTGTGGCAACTGAAAATATAGCTGATGATGCAGTCGGAAATGAAACCCAGACTTTCTAGATTTCGAACCGGCGCGCTGCATCCATGATTTCATAGGATTGGCGACATACTTGTAGCGACCGCCCGATGCAGTTGGAAATGAGATTTATTACATCTTACTACTCGCTTCCAGCTGTCGATTCTCCAGTTACTATGTTCTGCTGTTCCTGCAAGACGCTGAGCACATTGGGTGCGCTGAGAGGTGGTTCTTTCATTTGTATTCGGTTTCTGGAAGCCATAAGGTGAAACTAGCATTGCATATTCCCCTATTACCTGTGTAAAATTAGCAGAAAAAGGGAGAAAAATACGCATCCAAATACGGTATATATATGTATATATGTAAAACATGCAAAATATGTAAAGCAAAATTATAACTTAAAAACCTCCTTAATTTGTTTTTAATTTAGGTATTTCCTCTCTCTACTCCAACGATAGTAATTGTTTATGGTAATACTTTGTGTGCTGCGTTCTTTCTAGATTAATCTTTATCCTATGTCTTTTACATAACGCTGATAGCGTAGATGAAACTATAGCTCAAATAGATAACAATAATTTTGGAGCTTTATTAATTATCCAGTCAAATTTTATCGAAACTGTAACTACTGTACTCTGAACTAAGTTATCGTCTTGAACACAATGCAATTTGCTTCCACATCTCGGCTACTGCTTATCAGTCCGTTTAGACAGATACTTGGCGGCTTAGTAAATAATTATCCGGAATACTTGTGCTAGATTCTTATTACAGTATAGTCTTCCACTGCTATATTCTATGTTAAGACTCTATACATCACATTGCCGCACCATGCTCGAGAAAATTACGGCTACTGCTACGTCGACAAACCCCTGCATAAGCATATCAGGAAGGACATAGTCTTCACCACCATCAGAAGAACACACTGTCTTCAGCAGAACCGGGAGGACACACAGTCGACACCACACACTCGTTCTCTCTCCGTCGGGACAATTCTAGTACTGCCTATATCGTTTACCTATTTCGCTCAGCGCAGGAGCAAACGGAAGAATGCAAATTCCAACAGATAATTAATTAACTAATTTTAATATAGGTAATCTCATGTGGTTACTCATCTTCCCATATTTTTCGTGAAAAACTGCTCATAAAACTTCGCAAAAGAGATTAATTAATTAATGACTTTATAAGGTATTTTCTCCCTCCTTGAAGCATGCCTTCGTGATGTAACTGTAACACACTCGGCGTTTATTAGAAAGGTTCAGGTTTGAGTCCCTAGGAGGGCATTACACATTTTTCACATCTCCTGCTTCAAAATGAATCTAATGCATCTACAGTGGCGCTCGAACTAAAAGGGGGTGGATGATGATTCTTCACCACTATGATCTAGCGAGTGGGTCCCGTAATTCCCAGTCGCCCTTTAAAAGGGGGAGTATTTTCTCTCTCCTTGCAGCATCCCTTCGTAGTGTAACGGTAGCACATTCAAGGCGTATTCGAGAGGCCCAGTTTCGAGTCCCTGCGAAGGCATTGCACATTTTTCACGTCTCCTGCTTCAAAAATAGCTAATGACTCTACAACTTTAATAGTTAAGAACATAAATTTAAAATTCTGTTAATTGCTATACGTATGAATTAATTTTTTACACACTTTCAGTTTTGTTGAATGCTTAAGTTTCCTTCCCTTTATTTTACCAAAAATTATTAATCAATCCCAAAACACGAAATATAAGGGCAAAAATATTCCTTATTCCTTCTTGCTTATTCTTCCTTATTCTTCTTTAATATTGTTTCTACAAGGGTAAAAGGAGGTTTAAAGAAGCATAGTTTATAAGCCCCTTTAAGTCTGGGGCCCCAGCTCCGAATTTATGGACTATGTAGCAATCAGACCCTAATTGTCCACAAAGGTAATGCAACGTTTCTCATCAGAATTTTATCCGTATATTCATTTCAGGGCTGGGGAAAAAGTATGTTCCTCTCCTCTTTTTCGCTGCTTTACGAAAGTTCAATGCTTATATGAAGACAAATATACTTTCAACTTTTCGTCTTCCCCCCCTTTTTCTCCGCTTCTGAGTTTAGATGGAGAAGCTCGTTATACCTCAGATCCTGCATTTTTATTTGTTATACACTTTGTGACTGGTTGATATCACAATACTCGGCTAGTATTGTTTCTCAGTTCCTCTAGTTCCTAGAATTTTAACAATGAAAGATTTCATTCAAAGGATTTTTCAGTTCCTTGCGATGCAGCTGTTCTGTATGATTAACGAGAAGATTTTATTTTATTTTCTCCCATAAATGTATGAATCTCGAAAAATATTTACTTTATATGGTCGATCAATGTCCGCCTTCTCCTAGAAAAGACATAAACACATTGTCAGTTTGAAAAAATAATGAAATAAAACATAATATTATATATCTTGAAAAAATAAAATATGTGTAATAACGGAGTAGTTTTATTGGTATTATTTTACATAAGGTGCAACAACAGCAGAGAAGTTTATTTGTATGCATTTATTAAAGAAAATTTCAGTGTCGAGTTCACAAGAAGTTTTCTTTTTTTCACGTATCAGCTAGAAGATCTTGATTAGAGGGACTTATTAAAGCACTACTCTGTGAATTGGTAAACATTTCTATTTATCATTCTTTATTTGAGTTTCATTATTTTGGAAAAACTAAACGAACTAAGTAAACCTGGAAAAACTAAATGAACTAATTAAAACTAGAAAAACTAAATGAATGAATATAATTTAGAGAAATATTGATTGATATTGAAAAAAAAAAAGCGTTGAGTATGCAATGAAATGTATAAAATATATATACCATCATATATTTCATCTTCTATTATTTTAAAATACGCACAATTCTTAATGTAAAAGTTTTTGATTTTTGATATATTTCATTAGAAATTGCATAATACTTGTTACCTTGAAAATTTTTATTCAGATTATATGCGTAAATACATACATGGGAAAAAATAACTTTAAAGGAATGTAAGAATAAAATTAACTCGTAGTCTTTCTCTCATAAAGATATAAATATATATATTTTCTAAACAAATGGCGGGCACTTGCCTGTAACGGCATTGGCCACTACTAAGGCCAGAAATGGTAGCCATTTTATTGTGGAGGCACCTAATAGTTGGCCACCGTTACCTTCTATGACTGGAAAGACAATTTTACATCCATGCTTTCTCCGGGATTCGAACTCGGGCCTTTTGGTATCGCAGTCAGGCTTCCCTAACCACTATACCGTTTGGGGGTAACCACTATACCGTACATGTAAAAAATGTTATTATAACCTTTTTTAAGTCTTAAAATTTCATTGTATTACTGTTTTCAACAACTTTAGATGTGCATTTAATGACATTATTTGATTACTAATTTTTTTTCCTTTCCAAATGTATTGCTGCTTCTTCCTGTTATATACATAGTTGTTTCTAATCAGAATCATTCAGAATACTAATAAACAAAGAGACATTAAGTACAATATCGATGTAAAATAGAGTGTTTTTATGGTTTTATGTTATAACAAGGCTTCTCGTTAACAGTGGATTACTATTATTTATGTATGCATTTGAAAGTCCAATATTAAAATGAGTTTGAGAGAAAAAGGTTAGCTATATTTATTTGTTATTTTAAGCGATAAATAGGACAGTTTTAATAATTTCACCATAACGAATTTTCGTTTTCCGAAAACAAATAATTTTTCTTTAGAGAAAAGGATTATTGTGATTTTTAAATTAACAATTTTCTCTGAATATCATAAAAGTATATGATTATAGATGTAGTAATCTAATAATATATTTTAACACTTGCACCAACTTTTGAAGTGAGTTGTTTTGATGTCTGACCTAACCTTGTAAGGTATTTCTCCCACTTTCCTGGCATGCCTTCGTGGTGTAGTGGTTCTGCACGCTGTGCCGGTATTCCAGAAGTCCGTGGTTCGATTCCTGGCGAAGGCGTTGCTAATTTTTCATCTCTCCTGCTTCCAAAAATAATAATGTATCTACAGTGGCGCCTGAACTAAAAGAGTTGTGAATGACGACTCTCCACACCCAGGATTTGGCGATTGGGTCCCCTGAAAACACCAGTCGCCCTTTAAAAAGGGGAGTATATAAGGTATTTTTCCCACTTTCCTGGCTTGTCTTCGTGGTATAGTGGTTCAGCCCGCTGGGCCGGTATTTAAGAGGTCCGTGTTTCAATTCCCGGCGAAGGCGATTGCTAATTTTTCATCTTACCTGCTTTTAAAAAATTAATGTCTCTACAACCTGTTTGACCTGTTGTTTGTTTAATACAAGTATATGAAGAGCACAAAACCTTTTTCTTTGATTTAAAGAGTATGCTTTGTTTTCTCCCCAAAATATTTAATCATGAAATTAAAAATTAGTATCGAAAATATTATGAGTTACAGATATAAGTAAATGTAACTGGAAGAGGAAGATGGCAATGAAAAATTTAAAATTAGACAGATTTCAATGAAAAGTATATCGATTGTTAGGACGATAAGACATAGTTCCTTCTTGTTTCTTATTTAGGAGTAAAAATATTTATTCAAAAGTGGAAAGAGATACAATCCTTTTATGTGTGAAAAACATATACATTATAGCTCCTTCTACCTTTGTAGAAGTGATTTTGCTCTTGAAGAAGAGGGAACTATGTCCAGTCACCTCTGGAATCCATAGAGATTTATTCTGTTTAAAATGACAGCTTTTTTCTCCCATCTTTAAAACATATTTTGTCTCTGAAGAAGGGAGACCAGTATCTCAGTATCTGATTGCCTTTGAAAATCGGTAAAGTTTTACTCAGAACTGTAAGTTCTGAGTAAGGTTAAGACAGACTGCCTTTAAACAAGTAGATTATTTGACTAAACAACTACGTTAATATAGTTGCTACATTAATATAGTATGAACAACTACATTAATAGAATACTGTATTAATATAGTATTTAAAAGGAGAATGTTGTTTATTAGAATGTGAAGAAATATTTTAGAAACTTTTATTAGTAATAAGTATAGAGACATACAGGGTTTTAAAACAATTGTTATTTTGCTATAACAACGCATATTGATGGCATAAAAAATAAACTAAAGTGAAAGGTGAAAAAGCGAATCTATATTTACAGGTATAAATGAAAAACGCCAGCTAAAATTTCAAAAACATAAAAGGTAGGATTTTATTTTGGTCTTGATATTTTCTGAAAGGCAGCGTACATTTTGAGAAATAATATGACACAACCGTTTTCAGAAACAAAGGAATAATATTCTTCCATATTCGTTTGCCTTGTTTTGTATTTAACTTATTCAAAACGCATGCACCAATCATTTTTATTTGAGGTAAATTGGTTTTAAGAAAGAGTTTATCCATCTTTCAAATTGTTTTTCGTTTAACTTTATTTTTAATAAAAACAGAAGTAAACAGGAGCCTATATTGTGTAGCTCCGAAATTTGGTAGAAATGGGTTGTATAATTTAGCATGAAAAATAGTCGAGAAAAATCTTCCATGAGAAAAACTTTATTTTTAATAAAAACAGAAGTAAACAGGAGCCTATATTGTGTAGCTCCGAAATTTGGTAGAAATGGGTTGTATAATTTAGCATGAAAAATAGTCGAGAAAAATCTTCCATGAGAAAAACGTAATGGTGATTCGTATTTACATTGCACAACCCAGGAAAGGGTATGATGGATAAAAATTTGATTTCGATTGGTCTGAGGAAAGTATATTTTGTTTTCTGTATTCAGTAGCAAGATAAAAGGATTAATCTTAAAAATTCTTAACAATTTTTAGTTCATTATGCTGATGATTAATCTTCATTTTCGAAAGCACGGAAGGAGAATTCATTTACAGTTATTATATTTTATTCTTTTCTGCTTGAGTTCTTTCTTCCACTGCGTCTCATCTGCGTTCTGTTTTAGTCATTACTAGCTACTGCAAGTCTAGAAATGCATTACATACTTGTCTTACTACCGTTCACAGTAACTCAGCTGTTACTCCGATATTCATTTCAGTTATTTAATATGGATCTCTGTAGCTTCAATTATTTCGTTACAGATGTCCTTCCAATTACAAATTTGAATATTCAATCTTTGGTAACAGTAATCATATTTGATTAATTCATTAAATAAAACTTTGGGTTTTAAAGCTTGGATAACAAATCTTGCCTTAGGACTATAGACTAACACGTCTACCGTTGATATACATTGCTTTTCTCCGAGTAATTTTTTAATTAAAATTATCTTTACAATGAAGAAAAATTCAATTGGTGAATTTATATTGCTGTGAAAATCATGAGTTTTAGTTTAGAGTTTTAATATAAATTATTTCCTTCAAAAGTACTTAAACATTATCACTTTGTTTTTCTTTCTCATTCTCCATTTTACGAGCTAGTTTCTCTTTAAAAGTCCTCCACGAAGGCATCACTGCCTCTATGCAGATAGTAGTCTCGAGGCGTTACCGTAATCAAACAAACCAAACCATTCTATTTTTTTTCCTCCTACTCTGTTTAATAGATGTCATCACCAGCTGTACTATCCTTATTGTTAAAATATTTGTATTAAAACTCATCTTATGAACTGCATTTCGTTTCTTCTTTTTCCTTTTTATCCCTCCCTTTTTATCTCCCATAAGTGTCATTTTCACAGCACGCATTAAATGAACTTGTATCATGGATTTGCGGCTTCGCATTGAATAATTTTTCTTCTAATGAAGAGAAACTTTTATCGTAACTCTCTAAATTCGTTGAGTCTCTTTTATCGTGATTCAAGCCAAAAAACCAGATTTTTTTTGTTATTAAAACTGCATTTCTAAAAATAGCATGAGTATTATAAAAATTAGAAAAGCCATCTAGGTTTCGATATATTGAATTCACCTATTGTTTACTTATTGTCATGTCTAGTGATGAAATAAGGATGATGGAAAAAAATAACTATTAAAATGTTAACATTACATTAATTCCTGCTACTAAATTTGGCCGCCTAGTATCACGATAGCTGCTAAATAGACAGCTATAATGCTACTATTCTTTCCAGCTATTGACGTCCAGCTGCCAGAAAGCCAACGGTCAGTTGCAGCAGGTCAAACGGGCATTTGTTTATCAGAGCACAATACAGTAAAATTTACATTTCTTTCACAAAGAAAACAAACACAAAGTTTTTGATAGGTAATATTTCGCGTGAAAGTACAATTTATTCTGAAGTACAGTTTCAATTCGCAATATGTTAAAATGATGAAATGTTTCCTTTACAGTTGCAAAGAATTGGTTAGTGAGACAAAATTGAAATAAGTAAAATATTAAAATATAGTTAAGTTACAATCTAAATTCTATCAATTTTGAATATTTATTATAATATTTTCATGTGATAATTTGATTTGGTTGCCTTTACAAGATTGCAGCTGGAGTAAAGAACAAATTTGTTACCCAAAAAGACAATATAAAGGTTTCCGTATAACACCTAAATATAAATAAGTTGCTAAGTCATTGTCAGAAGCTATAATTTTATACTCACAGGCAGAGTTTACTACAAACGCTCCTAGCTACATCCTCAATATGTTAGCAGTTCAAATTAGGAGAAATAAAACATATAAAAATGCAAGGATGAAATATTCTTACATGACAAAACTATGAAACATTACCCTTCAGTTTCAGGCCGGTAGCTGACAAAATTGGAAAATAAATTAAGATTAAACATACAGAATATTTACAAAAACTGCGATTGAAATCTAAAAGAAGCTAAGGCCTCTAGAAATAAGCCAATAGCATTGTTAAGACAATGAATTACAAGATAAATCTACTGAAATTATTTGTACAGCATTGATGTTATACACCAAATGGTGTTCCTTATATAGTTGTTTAATGTTAATATTAATCAGTAATCCTGCTTCTGCGTTTACAGTTAAAATGTGTAAAAATAACGATATGATTTTGTCATATCTTTGTTTCAAGCTTTCCAGAATTATATAAATTGGAGATAATTTCTAAAAATGTGCACAAATATTTCTGATATTTGTATTTTTATGAACAATATATGATACAGCACGAAAATAATATCTATTATTTATTTCGTTACCTAACATTCATTTTATATGTATATTTACAGGCAAGTTAAAAAACATGTCTGCCTCAATTTTTTTTTAAATTTTCAATATTTTTCATTTAGTCGTTTTTATTAGTTTATTTTTCGATATTTTCCATAACTGCAGGATCAAATGACAATGAACGAACATATCTCAAATAAAAATGAGAGGAAATAGCCTCAACTGATTTAGATTAATATGATAATATAATTAAAAGGCCTCTTATAACAATAAGGTGAACATGTCTTGTAATAAGTGTTAGTCTTACTATATATACTGAAAAGATAAATTATTATACACATTATTCAATACACGAAGCTACAAGTTTCGCATGAATAACGTCAACAATATCCCTGAAAAATGTTTGGATGTGGTGCGAAAGCAAGGTGGGAGTATTGTCGCCCAGCACACACTGTAGTTTCGGCCTCACTGAGCGTGATACAAGTCCAGAGAGAAAAGGCACCTTGCAATTCGTCTTATTCATGCTCAAGAGGATTCATATCTGAGGATCTAGGAAGCAAGGCGAGTATTTAAAACTCATTATTTCTGTGCTTGGTCAACGATTCCTGAGCAATGTGTGGCCGATGTGGCCGTCCATTATCCGCTTGAAAACGCATCATTTTGTAGGAACGAAAAGCGCATGAAAGGAGTTACAGATGATTATAAGGTTAACTAAACCGAGCTGGCCAAGTTTCTGTTCAGTATGATGAGAACCCAATGACGATCACGCCAAGATGCTCAATTATATTTCTATCACCGGCCTGTGCAACACCTGTTTGATACAGAGGATGCAGTAGCTGGTGCGGTTAACGGCCCATATGAACTCTGACATTTATCTGGAGCAGCTGAAACCTCAATTAATCGGATTATATGACATGTTTCTATTTTCCTAGTATCCAGTGGCTGTGAGATTTGGCTAACTACAGTAGTAGTAATCGATGGTTTTACTTCAGCAGAGGAGTCCGACATAGACGTCGGCTATGAGTTGCGATAGTTGCCGAGGAGCAGTCATTTCGCAGATGCTGGATGAAACACACGAATTAAAAATCTGTCGTAATATGCCGTACTGTTTGGTTCCTTGCCGTTGCGACGCGTTGATACGTTACAACTGAGTTTCGGAGCATTTCTCCCATCAGTCACTGGTTTACACACAATTCATTACACATTTTGCACAATTCACACCAGTTTTTTTTTACTTTCGAGGTACTTTTGGTACTCCTGTGCCACAGTACTGAGTTACATGCCCAGTAGACTGATGTCTGCTGACATCAAACATGTGGCCTTGGGATTACTGATAATTTTGTTTACGATCAGGCTCACTTGGATCATTGTCTTTAAGCAGGATACTGTTGCACCGACGATAGCCAGCGTCATTGATTCGCTTTATGCTCAGTTCCATAGTCGCATCGCAAGTATGTATAATAGTTTGTCTTTTCAGTGTATATTCAGTAGACCTAACAACAGCTGGTGATAACTTAATAATGTACAGTTTGCTTAATGTTAGATGAAAAGAAAATCGAATCAGGGAATGCTCTTTTAACATATATTTGACTATCACATGAATTTTGTTTTTGCTTTCTGATGACATTTCTAGTAAACCTAGATTTGCTAAGAATTTCATGGGCTTAATGATAGCAGGTTTTTTTAATATAGCCTTATTAGTTTTACTTATTTTATTAAGTATTAGTTTTAAATTTCGCATTTGACTCAGTTAAATATTCAGCAATATCTTTCAGGCAGCAAATAACTTACACAGGCAGGAAGATGACAGAATGCGGGAACAAGGAATCAACCTCATGTTTCGGACTTAGCAATCACAATAAATGCAGTATAAACATCAACAATGATCTCAATTCGAATAGCTTCACTCAGAATTACAGATCCACAGAAGACAGTAGCTATTCATTGGACAATCAGAGCCATAAGAATGAGATTAAGACGGGCAGGAAATCCTCAACGAAGCCTGCTGTGAAATTGTACAAAAGAAGGTTTGTGATGCTATTTCTTTTCGCCATCTGTTCTATGATGAATGCAGTTCCTCAATTCCAGTATACAGTAGTAGCAGATATAGTTGCTTGTTATTATAACGTGAGCTTGACAGCTGTAAATTGGACTTGTGTAGTGTTTATGGTGGTATTCCTACCTCTTGTTTTCCCAGTTATGTACTTAATGGAAAAGAAGGGCTTGCGAGTCACTCTTATGACTGGAGCTTTTCTGAATTGCTTAGGTAAGTAAAACGATATCTCTTTAAACTAATTTATTTTAACGTATTTGTATGTATATATTTGTTCTAACTAATTTCTTCATCTCAGCTATGTAAGAAAAATAAAAAAGTTTATACTCAGCAATAAAACTTATTAAATTAAAGTAAGAAACGTGCTTGCTGTTAGAACTTTTAAGCAGCATGAAACGCATTCATCGAAAAGCATGGACTAACGTTTTCGCTATCTTAAGTATCACAGATAATATTTTGGCGAATGTTTATTACTGTATCGTAAGCAGAGCAGGCGCTAAGCTTTCCGCCGCGCGGTGTATTGTCTGCTGTTATTAAATATTGCTGCTATAGATTGCCTGGCATAATAAACGGATAGGTTGAGCGAAGTCTGAGGCCGGCTGTGACCGTGAGATTCCCAAGTTCTCTGCAATGATAAAATGCAAGGAGAGTGCATGGATCATTGATATTGTGTAAACTACACATAATTACATTACTGTTTCAAGTGATCATAAAGTCGAAAATCTAGTCACATACCTGTCAAAAATCAATAAAGGAATAGTATTCAAAATTAATTAAAAGTTAAGAGTTGGGATTAAAGGCCCTGCGTTTCAAATCTTGCTGTCTGGAGCGTTCTTCTCTAGCTGTATTATAAACTGTCCTAGTATTACCTTGTTTTAATAAAATTTCTTTTCCATGAGATATATTTTTAAGCAAAGCATATGGAAAAGATGTAATATAACAATTTTACCAAAAAGCTGTTTTTTATTTGCTTGCAGCTTAAAAAATAGGGGCTCTTGTATAATGATATATCAAAGAAAGAGATTAATTGTATCGCATCTTCTTAGACACAGTGTTGCCGGCATCGGGATTTTGACCTGAGTATCGTCATCTGCAACTGGGGTGTATAAACCTCTATGACAAAAGAGCTTTCTGGAACTTAAACAACGTATATGTTACTCGCTGCTTTAGACACTTTTAGTCCTTTTCGAAAATCTGCTTCGATTTCGCAAACATTCCTTTTCAGCATAAATATAACTTATGTGCCGCTCTGTTTGTGTAGTTGTAAGGAAGTCCCTGCCATAATCTTAGGCTCAGGTCTAATTTCCGGTAAATGCATCGATCTATTTATATGGTGCCTTAGTAATGTCAAGCCTTTTTTAAGGTGGTTGTAGCTGAATTTAAAAACGTAATTCTTCATGTGAAATGCTTCTTGAAGGAGCTCACCAAGACCCAAGCGATAAAGTGGCTGAACACTCGTAGTTTGACATGGGTTCGATTCCAGGAGATCTAGGTGTCCGTACGGGCGTTTTTGAGGTTTTCCCCATGGGTAATGCGGATACGAGCTATTCCCTTAGGAAGTCTCCACACAGACATCTCTGCCCCTAGGCAGGTAGCCCTAGTGTGCTTTACAATAGTTAAATAAACCTTCTCACCTAAAAAGACACTGTCAATTAGTAAAAACGTCTCAAGAAAAAACAAGTTTTCATCCAAGGAAGAGTTTTCTTTGCTTACGATGAGAGATGTGTAAGGTGTTTGCTTTGAAATGTTGGAAAATAACCAAAACATTAATGTAGGCATCAGGGCCTCCAGTGGGTAATCTTAAATAGGACATAACCAGCAGGCTATATGCGCTGATCAACAGACCAAATGTGGTTCTTTAGTAGGGTAACGCAAAATCACATATTAGTGGTGGGACTCCATATAGGTTTAATAGGTCATGTTCATAGGTTTAATAATGGGAAATACTTTCTCATTCCTCTTAAGAGTTCAGATCTATCAATCCCTTTAAGTTTTATAAGTTTAAGGCATTGCTACATTTCTTGTTACAAGAACTTTCGCAGTAAAGAGAAGGACGGAAAGGTAATAAATAAATATTTTTTTCACAATACCGAAACAATAATTATTCAAAAAGAAAGGAGGAAGGGAAAAGTTGCCTGGTAAGGAGTCATTAAAATAATGCATATTATATTATTAATTAAATTCTTGAGACGATATTGTTTGTTTTTCTCTTGAAATTGTTTATCTTGATTCTGCATTATTTTACGATCGACCTAATAATAGCCTCGCAGAAATGTATATTGATTAAGACCTCAAGGGGTTTTTTAACTTCCTTCTGCGAAGTAAAAAGGAAGTATTGTAATCGCGAAAAGTTTCAGGCAGCATATTTCAGCGAAAATATTCATTTTGACCCCTATAGAATGAAACTTAACGATGTTTTTGCGTGACATTTGTACGTAAGGACAGAATAAAAGACTCTTTTCCCCCCAAAAAATTATAAAACTGATTTAAAATAAATCCTGAAGAGAATTTTTCGTGGTGTCTGTGCGTACGTACGTATCTCCCATAACGCAAAAACGAGTAGCCTCAGAACGTTGAAATTTTGTATATAGGACTACTATAACATGTAGATGTGCACCTCGTATTTTGTTTGCAATCGGCCGCGCCAAATGTATATAAATATATTTATACATATATATCCACTCTGTTACTCGGCTCAGTGGTCTCAGTTTCTTTACTCTTATATATTTGTAAATTGTACATTTTGTGCTTTAAAAATGATTGAATTATGTTGTTCTTATCTTCTGGTTGAGGATTTTATGCCTTTAGTAAATCTGTATGCAATATTTTTAGAATTATCAGCAATTTTAAAGTTGTTTAAGTGACGCTAAGCCTAATAATTTTTCTGATGGCGGCCATTGCTTGTTTACATTTGAAATAGCAGAGTAGTGGATTTGTTGCCAATCTAGAGAAACGTAGTCTCGCAACAACAATGATAACGCCTTAAATTATTATTGCGAATCAAATCATGCTTAATCCTTGCTGGAATGTTTCGAGGAAATAAGTGTTTAAGATTTATTTCGTAATTTTTTATGTAGATATTTCGAGTTTTTATGTATTTTTGCCATGTCGCGAAGCGAGAACTGAATTAATTGAATGAGAAATATTAAATCGTCTGTGAAAAACGGTTTGTTTTTGTTTTGTTCGCTTAATTTCTTTTATAAATCGTTCTAGATTTATTATAGTATTTGAATAGAACATATGGCAACGGTTAGACAGTTCTTCAAATGATATAAATTTTGTGCATTCAGAGTTACAATATGAACGAAATATAACGCTATTAAGTTAACCTAGTACCAGAGTGTCGCTATGGTAAACAAGTATAGTGTTTATGCGCTATCGACGAAGTAGATTTAATTCAATCCAATAAATTTAAATGAAATGCAAGAAAAAATGCGCATAATTTAATATTCCGTACAAGGAAGTCGTGGCGTACACATCAGATTTTTTAAATGCAAAATAAACTACACTTCTTTATGTACAATAATCTGATTTCATTATTTTCTACTATTGATCTATAGGAGGGTGGATACAATGCGCTTCGTTCAGACCATCCAGATATGCTGTCATTATGACATCGCAGACTATATATGCTATGGGTCAAGTATTTGTTCTCAGTTTGCCACCTTTCATTGCCGGCGTTTGGTTTGGAGCTACAGAAGTGGGACTTGCATGTGCAATGGGAGTTTTTGGAAACCAGGTATTCATGTTTCACATATTCAAAAAATACATTTAGAAAAAAAATATTATTTCAAAACACAGGTAGAATTTTGTATTACAATTTATCTGGGAATTCAATTCTCTAGACGTCATTCCTTATTATGTATCCATGAAAGTATAGTTTCCAAAAATTTTATCTCAGCGCCCCTTCTCGTGCTTTTATTATTTTTTCCTTAACACTCCATTCGAGTTTGTTCAGTACACCAGTACTTTTGCTGCAAAGATCGAAATGTATAACTCGTTTTAGATATCTACAGTGAAACTTCGAGAATTTAATTCTTTCCACAAGGAATCATCCGAAATATTTATAAGCCTAAATAAAGTTTCGTATCGAATTAAAGTAAAATGGATTAATAGGTTCCTAGACCGTAGAAGATTACTTATTTAAATTTTGCAATAATATTTTGAAGATTTTAGAGTAATATTTTTCACACATGTTTGTACATTTCATTCAAGTTTAAATGATAATTAAGATTTTATTTTTGAATCTTTCCTCTATGTTTTGTTTCATGACGTATTCGCTCAATACAGAGTTTTATGTGTTAATTTCATGACAAGTAGTGTATTTTAATTGAGTAGAAGAATCGTAACCAGTATGACTTGCAGTAGAGACTTTGAGTATTGCTACCGCCACCTTCTTTCTTTGCCGAAGCCGTTAAAAGCGATTATCGGACATTAGGAGTAATATTGTCAAGTGATATTGGTACATGAAATCTTACGTATTAGTCCCTTTTACCTAAACTTTAGGATCCAAAGACTATATTCGTATTCTCATCCTTCCTCTTTCTCTGAGAATATTTTTTCCATAGTTGCCTTTTCTTGTTGTTTCTGAATAGGTTTCAATTTTTCCCTGTTGAGCTTTCTCTATACCACATTCATGATCCTTTCAAGTATCTTACTGTCAGGCTTTGCCACTAGAAGTTAAGCAAAGAAATGTTAAATTGATGTCTTTATAAACGTCTCTTAGGGTTCTATGTCAGACCTTTCCTCGAAATACCGTTGAAAACCATTTGTTCCTGGTATTCGTAAAACCCCACCAAGACACCATTCGCCATGCAAAATATTTCTTGTTCATATAATTTATTTATGAACCGATCTGATTATGATCCGAAGTTCCACTGTATTAATTACAGCCTTTCCAATGGGTGATAAAAAATCAAGCACGCAAGTCCTTCGATTTGACAATAGCCAAGCCATACTGCACTACATCTACGGATGCCATTAATGTCTTAGCGAGATTATAAACGTGAAGCTACTTCATCTGTATCAAGAATTACAATATGACGGTTATACTTTCCAGTGGAGTTTGAGAACCCGGTGACCGTCTCCATGTTCATTCCGCATACAAAGGCATGGATTTATGAGTATATACAAATGAAATAAACAATTCCTGCACCTTGCCACGTTATTTACACAAAACGCTCCAAAACCGCTAACGGAGTTCGATGCACCTTTATTGACAAGGATGACACAAAGATTACAAGGCCGTTTCTCCGAACTCACCTTCTGTAATCAATCATCATTTCCATCACTACTTATCACAAACATCTAGAGAGGGATAAGATACAATATAGCCCTCCTTATTAGTCTTTTCTAGGTCAGAATCCACTTGGATTTGAGGAAAATGAGTTAGTGGATGCATTAACCAATTAAGCTGCGGAAATATAGTGCTACTTTTCTGCTGTATAATTAATATCCATCCGGACTATAATTTGACTTTAGGCAATCGCACATCTATTTTGTCCTTTTATGTATTCTGTGTACATGCATGCCTACGTTACTGATGTTTTCTCACTACGTGATTGATAGTGCTTTGTGTTTTCAAGTGACGTTCTCATTCTCGTGTCTTATGTGTAATTAAAGTGCAACTTCGTGCTATAGTATTCTTGCGACTATACGCTTTTATGCGTTTTCCATTCCAGTACTGTCGATGATTATAACATTTTGCATCTATTTTGCATTTAGCATTTATACTACGTATTTCTCAAGATCCTAATATCTGCATTATATAGCATTTCTAATATCCACACAATAATTTAGTTTTAAATGATAGTGTTACAACTTCATTTTTAAACTTGTCGTGTTTTATATGACTGTATATATGTAAGAAAAATAAAGAATATGTAAAAGATTAAATTAACAGCATAAATTAATTTTCCTTCTCTATTCTAAAAATAGTAACTCCTCTCTGCACTGCATCATTTCGAGACTATTCTATGTCATATGATTCTTACTTATGATGATGTAAATGTAACTAAAACTCAACCAGCCAATAGTAATTTCACAGCAATATTAACTGCCCAATCAAAATACTTTGAGAACCAAAACTAACTCAGTTTAACTTAAGATTTCATCCTGAACATTACGCACTTGTTTCTATGCTTTGGCCTGGCAAAACTGCAGTCTGTCTGCTCTTTCTTTCTTATTGCAAATTTATGTAAAATGTAAAATCTCATGGAATAGGCACAATTAATGTGTTAAGTTGATTGTCGCCGCAATATGTTTGCTAAATTAAAAATGAAGATTTAAATATGCCTTCGCCTCCAATTTCCTAGTCTTCATGGATCAACACTTCTTCGCCATCAAAATTCCTGCTCCTGAATTTTTTATTACATATATATATATATTATGTTTGTTTGTAAATATAATTCAATTTCAAACAGCGTGATTTACAAATTTTCACAGGACTAGTTTCGATGGTTTTACCGAACCATCTGCACCGCAAAACCAGCAAATAGATAAGATACGAAAGCCTGGAAAAGAATAAGCAAGTGGCGCCATCTGTTGGTGAAACCAGAACTAAAACATAAAGGCCGAAGGCAAATTTGGATTGGAATTAGGATCGTTAACTAGAACAGAAAGATTTTTATGAATGTGAAATGCCTCTAGAAAATCCAGTTCTCCAATGGAAGATGTTTTTTGAATAATTTTGGCAGCAGAAAAATTGAAAGTGTGGTTTTCGGACCAACAATGTTGAGCAACAGAAGACTTCTGTGTTTCCTTTTTTCTAACATATGCCTCATGTTCCTTGACGCGAAATTTTAAGGCTCTCTTAGTTTGGCCAATGTAAATTAAACCACACTGGCAAGGAATCCTATAAATACCCCAGGAATTCATATCCGGAATGGGGTCCTTGAGTATGGAACTCGGAATTTTATTGATGGGAGAATAAACAACCCGAAAGTTAAATTTCTGCAAAATATGTGCAACTTTATAGCTAATTGATGGAAAGAAGGGAATGACAACAGAATTTTTATAATCTCCTAAAACAAGAGTGTGCCTTTTAGTGTGTTGAGATGAGAATTTTTTAACTGCTTGATTAATAATGTTGGGTGGAAAGCCCCTGTCAATAGCTATTGCTTTTAAATAATTTAGTTCTTCATCAAGGGCTAGTTTGGAGGAGCAAACTTGAAGAGCACGGAAAACATAGGAATAAAATGAAGCTAACTTTTGTTTAGTCGGATGACATGATTTAAAGTGTGGTGGAAGGCAAACCGATGAAGGTTTACGGTAAACCGTAGTACTGAAGTTGGATGTGTTACGTGTGACCAGAATGTCGAGAAACGGAAGAGAATTGCAAGTCTCAAGTTCAAAAGTGAACTGAATAGCAGGATCAATAGAATTCATTGTTGAAAGAACTTTATTTAAATCATCTTTATTACCTTCAAACAGAGGAAAAGTATCGTCTACGTAGCGGAACCATGCCGGGAAGTTTAAAGTTTCAAACAATTTTGATTCATAATAATGCATGTAGATATCAGCCAGGATGGGACTGAGGGGGCTTCCCATGGCTAATCCCTCAGTTTGCTTGTAATATTTATTTTGGAAAACAAAATGTGTTTGTTTCAAACAGAGTTGAGTGAGAGAAATTAGCTCATCAATTTCGATGCAAGAGAAATGAAATTCGCGAAGTCTGGTTTCTAGACATCTTAATGCACCCTCCACTGGGACATTGGTGAATAATGATTTTACATCAAAAGAAACCATGAGTAAATTACTAGGAGAAATGTTTTTAACTTTTTTTTACAAACTCTATTGAATTTTTTATGGTGTAAATGTTATTGTCTAATAGAGTTGAAAATCTAGAAACTAAATATTTAGCTAATGGATACGAGGCAGTACCTAAATTTGATACAATAGGGCGGAAAGGAATACCACTTTTATGAATTTTGGGAAGAGCATATAATCTGGCACAATTCGCAACAGATGGGATAAGCGAATGTTTTAAGTTGCTTGAAATGATTTGCGAAGATTTGATCGCAGTTTTTATTTTTGACAAGTCCGAAGGTGAAGGATCTTTAGGGATCGGATTATATGGTCCTTCGTTTAAGAGTTTAGTGACACCATCGATGTAAGTGTTCTTATCCATGACGACTATCTGGCCACCTTTGTCGGCCTTTGAAATGATAATATCCGGGTTAGAATGAATTTCACGCAATGTAGCTCTTTCTCTCGCAGTTAGATTTGGTTTCAAAGGTTTATTATTGAATTTCACATTATGAGCGATAAGATGCCTAATCATTTCTTTCTGTGAATCTGAAACTTTACTGAACTTGAAACTTTACTGAACTTGAAAGCTTTTTCGATAGGAGCCAAAATCTTTGGAATCGAGGGTTTACAGGTTTGTGAGAAGTTAAAATTATATTTTAGAATTCTCTCTTGTTCTTCTTCTGAAAGACTAACATTAGAAATATTAACTATTGGCTTGATGTTTACAATGGGAAGATTTTTTGAACTACTTGAACTGGAACACTGTAAAAGAAGTTTTTCGAATTTAACTGCAAGGGTTTTTTTTATGACGGTTAACTCTTCTCCGTTCTAGACCAAGACTTTTGTTCAAGGGCAGTGAATTTTGGATATGATTTAGCGAGTTCCAGATGAAGCTTATAGAGTTCATGTTCAATTTTGGACAATTGTTGACGTGTATCCCTTATGACGGACCGAAGTAAGGCAAGCTTGCAATTTAACAGAATTCTTGAA